GTTAAAGAGTAAATCTAGTTATCAAGAATATAATTTTCCCTTCCTCTGATTTGGAAGCCAATGTAGTAGTAAGGAATTGGAATCTACGCATATGCATAAATTCCATATCAGTGTAAATTTTGCTTCAAAAATATATATTACGGCAAATAAAGAAAACTAATGCAGTCTATAGTTCATTTTGAAACTCTCAAACAAATATTCATGGTTGTTTTGGGTACAATAATTTCCAAGTAATTAAGAGCATACTATAAGACAATATTTATTTTATTTTATTTATTTCAAATGGCAGGCGTTTTGATAGATATCATTAGCCATTTAGCTGGCTTCGGGCTTCACAGAGGGAAGGTTCATCAAAGTAGCAGAAAGTCGAGGGGTGGGAAACAGAAGAGCGATTCACAGATGTAAAAGAGATAGACGGACACAATGGTAGAGAAAAATGTAAGGGGAATACTGTGGAAGGGGTCGAATATGACAACCAGGGGGGGGGGGTCGTGGTAGTTAGAAGCCAGAAGTCAACTGCCAGTCAACAGACTTTTTTGCCGTATGAATATACGTTGCCCAGGGTGCACCACGTGGAGGTAAGTCTATCGCACACCCCCTATAAGACAATATTATATAATGTTAAATGTAGTAATTATGGATTTTATTGAAAAAAGTTTCTGAACCGTTGGATCTAATAAAGTGAATATGCATTATTTATAAAATCCTATGATGAAAAGAGATACGTGATTACTTCATTTACTTACAGGTAATTTGTATGAATTACTTATATTTATCACAGGAATCAACATTGCATTTAAATTATTAATAAAAATTGATGCAATATAATTTTGAATATTAACAAATGACCTTTAAAATGACGAACTTACACCATATTTTAATACATCAATTGTATTGACTTTTGTTTAGATTTTGCAATTCAATGAACTATAGATTGGCCTATTTCAAATTCACTAGTTAAGGTCATATTGTCACAAGGTGAGGCTGATTGTTAATTGGCTTATAAGGCAGCTTCATATTCATAACTTAATATGAAATATAAATTTAATATCATTCGTAAAATTGGTTTTCTAAATTTATATATTGAACTGAGGTATCGCCTATTCTCCATTAATGTAATAACTTGAATCGATTTTCTTATATTTCATTTTGCAAATGTATTTTAATTTTAAAAATTTAGAATTTAAAGTCTTCTTCTTTTTATTCATGACAAATGTTTTGTTGCAGGTGGCTACATTCATTGTAAAGAGTGTTTTTAAATTATGCTCAATATAAATTCCCAACGCATCCGTGAATTATGGAGATTATATTTTCCTGAAGGTTTCTGGAGCGAATTGAAGGCATTATCAAAAGTTGCCGTTCCTATTGTATGCTTTTTATATTTTTCTATACCATACTTATATATGACGTACTAATTATCAGCTCCTTAACCTACAGATGATAACAAGCCTTGTGGAGTATCTAACCGCTCCAATCAGTCTCTTCTTTTGTGGAAGACTTGGAAAGACTGAATTGGCTGCTGCTGGTCTGGCTATCTCCTTATTTCATACTGCTGGATTGTCTTTTGTTATGGGTCTTCTTACGGCTGCCGAAACTTTATTTTCACAGGTATTATATAAAATCTAAGTATTTCAAGCACAATTCGACCTTTACATGCCACGAAATTGATATATATATGTATACATTTATTTTCAATTATGTGTTATTTATGCTATATTTACTTTTTATTATAGACTTATGGTGGTAAAAACAAATTTCGACTGGGTATCCAGGTTCAGCGATGTAAGCCATAGCTCTTTTTAACCCATTTAAATTTAATTTGAAATCTTAACCATTTTTTCTTGCTAAATTAGCATTTCTGATAACAGTTCTCCTCTGCTTGCCATGTTGGGCCATTCATATTATCATTGAGCCTATACTTCTAGCCACGAATCAGCCTCCATTGATAGCTAAGTAGGTTGCCATAGAGATTCCTAACGTCTATTCTCTATTAAGGTACACTAGTCTATATATTCTCGGTTTAATGCCAGGACTATTTGTAAGTTTGTATCTTACTTTTTCAGCTTTCTTTCAATTTTTTTCCCTAGTTCTTCGCACTTTTTGAAATCCTCACAAAGTATGTCCAGACTCAGAACAAAGTCCTTCCGCCTATGATTGCGGGGGTTTTTGGAAATGTGGTCAATGCAATTTGCCATTACCTCTTCATCTACCATTCCAATGCGAAATTCATGTAATGCTTCCCATTCTCTTCCTTATTAGCATACTTTTCTTTGTCAGGGGTTCGGCCCTTTCCCAGTCAATATGCTACTTTTGCCAAGCTGGATTTGTTCTGATTTACATTCTCATCTCCAAAATCTACAAGCATACTTGGGATGGTGAGCTATTTTTACCTTAACCAATGAATTATTTGAAACTAGTTTTACTGAATTATTGACCTGCAGTTTCATTGATTTCTCATGACCAGTGACTTAAGTTCACTCTCTGGGTGGGCAGAAATTAATGTAACTTCCCTTAAAGCATTGCCATCACCTCATTCACTCTTTCTACTATTAACTTGTAGGATTGCATGTTGAGATGTGGCACGATTGGGGCGTGTGGTTCCGTCTGGGCTTTCCTGGAGTAATAATGGTCGGTCTCGAATGGTGGATCTGTGAAGCAGGAAGTCTCACTGCTGGTAAGTGCCTACCTATTAGCGTTAATTAAACCCGCAGAAGTTAAGACGCAAGACTTATTTACTGAACAGCTAATGTAAAAGGAATTATTTCGAATGCCAATTTCAATTAGTTTGATATTACCTTTCTAATAAAGTCATCATATCATTATTATTATTATATCAAATGGCAGGCGTTTTGATTGTTATCATTAGCCCTTTAGTTGACTTCAGTCTTCACAGAGGGGAAGGAACATCAAAGTGTAAAAAATTCAAGAGGGGGGGGGGAAACAGAAGAGTGTATCAAAGACGAAGGTAGATAAGGTGGAAAAAAGGTGGATGAGTACTAAGGAAGTAGTCGAATATGACATATAGTGGGGTTATGGTAGTTTGAAGTCAACTGCCAGGTAATAGACTTTTTTGCCGTATGATTATACGTTGCCCAGGGTGCACCACATGGAGATAAGTCTATCGCACACCCCAGTCATCATATCATAATAGCTTGAAGAATATATAAGAAAGTTGTCCAAATGTGGTTGACGCAATCGTCATATCTCTCTTACTACTTGGTTCTCTGTCGATTTTTGTAACTGGTTTGTAATAAAACAGTGTACAGGAGTACACTTTTCGTCAAATGGACCAGACATCCTCTATAAGGTTTCACTCTACAGCATTTTTAAACCTTCTTTTGCCACATTAGATTGCTACCTATTCGTTAGGCTTTAAAGGCAAGTGGGGGCCAATTTTGAGGGACCTCGGGTAAAAACTGGACGTATTTTTTTTATTTCCTCGTAGGAAGTTTTCCCTACTAGACCAAACAGCAAGATCAACAATAATGATAGGATTAAGTTAAAGTTGCCAGCTATACGACTGAGAGGTATAAGGAGTAGGATAAGGATAAGGCTATGATCTTGGAGGAGTAGGGGGGGGGGGGGGTCGAATATACAGTGCTTTCGCACTTATTAACTGGAAATACGGTGTCAAATGAAGACTCGCGTCATCTCAAAATTAAGATACATGTGGGACAAGGTTCGTACGACGATGAGATCTTGTCGATCGGTTAGAATTTCGTATGAAAAGTCAGATATTAATACCCTGGCAACAATAAATTAAGTACTGCTCCTAGAAAGTTAGTTGCAAATTAATTCTTAGCTTCAGCCAGTCAAATACTATCGGCGTTCATCACCCCTCATTTTTAACACTCTGGAAAGTTATTGTACTGTCAGTACTTAAATGCTTTTTTCCTGTTTCCTAATAAAGGCTTGCGAGGTGAAGAAGCTTTGGCCATTCAAACCATCCTCAATAACGTTGAATCAGTCATATTTTGTACAGTGAGTAATAATAATAATGATAATAATGAATAATAGTAATAATAACCAATGTGTACTTCATTTATTGCCTCATTGTTGACTTTGCACTTTTAGTTCCCAATGGGCTACGGTATCGCTGTGGCCATTCGCATTGGAAAGTTTTTGGGCGCCAACGATCCAATCCGTCCCAGGGCGACAGCGTTTGTGGGAATCTTATTTTTGGGTAAATCATCAAATTGCAAACCTTTTGTCCCTATAGAAAGCGAGATTTACTTGTAACTACTACTATAGGCACCTGAGCTTCATTTAATGAGTATAGGGCATTTGGTATGTGTAGGTGTTTATTAAAAAAAGGGCCTAACTTTTTACTAAAATCAAATGAAGTCAAATTGACTCTTTATATAAAGTTTATAATCTTCTAGTCAAGTGTAATTTATTCATTTGAATTATTGCGCTTTCATAATAAACACAGTAAATGAACTTTATTTCCCTTCCCTACTAGACTTATAAAACTTTCCCTGATTCTACCACTTTGAGTGGTTAGAGTCTAACCAATTAAAATGCCAATCAATAGGAAATTTTGTGACCCTTCTTCAATAGCCAATAGCAATAATGGCCAATTAAATGAACGATAAAAAAATAACTAATCAACGCAGCTTATGCTTAATACGTCATTCTCAAGTGTGATAAATTGATTATGGATGTAAAAATTAGGCTTTAATTTGGATATAATGCTTTTTAAGGAATGGTTGTTAATTCCAATTGCTTTATTAGCACATAGTCTTTTCCTTTTTAAATATATGACAAATTATTAACTGATAAGTAGCGAGATAATTAAAGCAACTTTTTTCTATATTCATGATTTAAACGCATAGCGAAAACACAGACTTCAGTTTAATTGGACACAGCTCGTTCATATCGTGTACACAAGTGAATTTTTGCACAATTTTACCTTTTCAACTTCAGTAAAGCTACCTGCTCTTCTTTATCTTCATCCCGTTGTCACAGTAACCAATATTTTACTGTCTCTTACCCCTATTCGGTTACCCGTAGAATTTAACGGTGTGGCATTAAGCAATTCACTTCTCCGCGGAACAATTGTTTCAAAGAGTGGTTAGAATATTTAACGCTTATTTTGGAAAAGTAAATACTATTTTTACCCACTTCCGAAGTTTTTAAAGTAAACACTTTTATCGCTACCACCATGTCTAAGACTACATGCTAAGCAAATGGTTACCATCTAGAGTTGTCAGCAACTTTATAAGTTTAATTATTGGAAAATACCCGAATATGTTAATAAATAGTGGGTGCTTAAGGCAGGGCAACGCGAATCTTCTTTTGTTTGAATCTGTGAGACCCTATTTTTTGCCATAATTTCAAATTGGGAAGATTCAAGTGCTACTACCCCAGTGTTCAAATTTCATCCATTTTACGCCTAGGTTCGTGGGTAGGAGGATGTCACATCAATTCAATTATATCTTTTGTAACCAATATCAGCTGAGACTAGCAATGATACTACTAACACTACAACAACTGTTGATTTATGAAATTATATCCCTTTTTTAGCAATTGTGGCCAGTGTCAATAGTCTCGCTCTTATTCTCTTGCGCTATTACGTCGCCAAGATCTTTACAACTGATGTGTAAGTTGGTATAACTATTAGTTCATTTCTCATGGTCACTTTTAAACAAATAGTTAAACGTGATATTGATTGCGTGAAACACGTGGAAAAGAGACTAAATGGTGTAGCTTTGAATGGGTTTGGAAACAGCAAAAGTGAATTGTTTGAAACCGGGAGAAACCCTAGCCATCTAATCTCCAGAAATATCCGGTCATCAGTCTTCATGATTTAAGGTTTCCTAAGGCCTTCCTTATTGACATTTTATTTAAAGGAAAAATTAAGACGGTAGGATTTCATATGTTCCCATAATTACGTGAGATTTGTCAATTAGTAGTAATAAAATCATTGCTCAAATTTACTTTTTTTATATAAAAATAACACATTTTGCCCAACACCCCTCGGCAACAATTTTGCTTATAAACTTAGAATGTTACATTCGTCGGATCATTTAAATAACAAAATTTGTGCTAGCTAGTTCTGATCCGTTCATTACTTTTGTAAAATTATACATGCCTGTTCACTACATTCTAACCCAGCCGTTATCACAGAGAGGAGGAAAATCAAAGTCACA